AATTTAAAGAACAGTATAAGGTACCAGATACATTGCTTCCTGAGTTTTCTATGTCTGTGAAAGAGCAAATGGGTATTTTATTTATTTTTAAATTTTATTTGCTGCCCATCTTGTGGTTCAAGGTAACTCTGAACATTCTTGAAAGAATAAATCTTTAAGGGCATTCCTATGATCATTTACGTTTCGTTTTGTTTTTCAACTTGCTTTGTACTGATTATTTGTTACAATTTGGCTTTCTTTTGAAGAGGTAACTGAAAAAAACAGAAAAATTGGGGCATGAGACACTCACATATTTCTTCAAATATTGTTTTGTATTCATAACCATGAAGTTATTCAGTTTTCTTTTTGTTTAAGGAAAGATATTACAAGGTTTAATGGAAAAATATGATTTTATACACTGTCAAACCACAATGCCTCTGCTAGAAACCAGTAATTTTGAAGACGCATTCATCTTGAAGTTATTTTGTTATGATTCCTAATTTTCAATACCATTGTTCTTCTCCCTACCATAACTCTGATATTTATGCCTGGCGCAGATTAGTCTTCTGCCTCCCTATGTAGGTGCACATTTTTCTGAAAGTAAGGATCTGGGAAAAGGTTTGATCCAGGTTAAGAATTACTTATTTTTCATTTTTCTGTGCATATTTTATTTTCACGGTACTACTCTGTACTATAAGTAAATACTATGAGAGAGAGAGAGAGATCTTTAATACAATAATATCTGGAACTTTAAAATATATTTTCATATAACATAGAAACATAGAAATGTATTTTCAATAACAGATTTCTCACATAGAGAGATTTGAAACTTCTGCCTCTATTTAAATGCTTATTTTAAAGGCCATGCTATAGGTAAACATGCTTTGTTTTGTAAGTTTTATGTCAGAAAGTCTATAGAGCAAAAATAATCATTAAAGTGAGATCATATTTTATTTTAAGTACTTTACATGTTCATGTAGCAACATGCAAGAGCTTTTCAACAGTAGGATTTCCATTCAAATAGATTACTCGTAGTAAACTTCCTATTATACTATAAAAGGTATACTGTATGTACTTGTATAAAATCTCAAATCCTGAGTTTACTGAGAGCTAATCTCAAACAAAACATAGGAAGCAGTTTTTTTGTAAACTTTTTAATACAGTATAGTATTATAAAGGATAATATTATTTCTGTTGCCATGTGAAATGTGTGAAACTTTTTATTCAGAAAACCTTACATTATTCATGAATATTTCTGTTTTGAACATATTTTCATTCCCTCCCTTTATCTTTTTAAATACCTTGATTTTACATTTTATTGAAAATATTGCTTGCTATTTAATTACTATTACATTGCTCTAAGCTGATCAGCATGGCACATAAAATCTCAATATATCTAATATCTGTATGCTGTACCATCAGCATCACTTTGTGAAATATCTAAATACAAGTTAATCTCATTTGTACGTAGATAGTAAGATGCTAAGAGACTATTACGACATATATTACTAGAATTAACCCTGTACCTATAGGATGACCAGGTTGAACCCAAGGTAAGTTTGAGGTAAGACGTCATCAGTCTCAAGTCCTTTCATGTCCAAAAGAGATCTAAGTCCAGCTCACCTTGAATTCCATTGACTCTTATCTACTGCCAATTTGCTTTGACCATTAGTAGTTTAGATTTTGGTAACTACATTCATTTGAACTGCCTGAATTCTGATTTTCTACTCTCGATAGTCCCTTTTATTATAATCTCAGGTAAGTGTATTGGTGTTATAATTTATCTGGAAGGGGATTCCAAATTAGACGAGGAAGGGAAGGGAAAAATTGGTTTCATCCATTCTTTGATTGATTCAGCAACACAGTAGCAACAGTTTGCAAAATAAGTTTCAGTTAACCACATGCTAGTCCCAAACTAAATAAATTATCTAGTAGATTACCCTCTTTTTGTTACATCATATGTCCTATGGTATGTGTGTGTGTCTGTGAAATGATCTGACAGTTCTACATGAAATAATGAAAAACGTTCATTAAGTAAATAAGTTAAACATGGGAGGTTTATTTTTGTGCACAGAACTTCAGCGTTTCTTCAAAGAGAACCCCAACTTCTAGTCCATTTCCCCTACCTGCTTTAAATTAGTGTTTCAAGAACATTTGTCTTCATTCCTACATTAAAATATTCCACAAACTATTTCAAATATGTAACACAAACCCAGCTGCATCATCTTGTGTTCTTCAAATATTCTAGAAATGTCACTCCAATCCTTATTGGATATAACATGATTTATGTGATTAAGTTAAAGTCTTTGGTTGTCTTAGGATAGTACCAGCTGTTAGAATAACTACTACAGCTGCTCTTGAAGAATGTGCTTGGTGATTGTTTTGTTGTGTATTGGTACACCTTTAAAATATATGCAATAATACAGGAAATCTTTCTTTTATATGCATTTAAGACCCTAATTTTAACAGGTTAAAGACTCAGAGAGCGATAATGCATAAAAGAAAAATACAGTATTAGGGTATATCAACAGAAGTATCATTTCTAAATAATGGAAGTAATTTACTCTGTGTTGTTCAGTAGATATATTGACTGTTGTGTACATAATGAAGTTAAAGGTGGTTATATACCTGATATGATCATTAAAAGAACAAAGAGAATGATCAAGTTACTAGATAAAAAAATATATGAGAACCTTGGGCATTTAACCTTCTTAAGCAAAGACTGAGATGGTATATGAGAACATTTTTCAAGGATCTGAAAGAATGTGACACAAGATAAAAACTTGTTTTCCATTGTTCCAGAGTGCAGAACATAAACTAATGGATATAGTTTTCAACTGAATGTTAGAAAAACAGTAAGACTGGTTTAATAAAACCAATAATTATGAAAACTGGTAGGCTCTCTTTTGCTAGATGTGCTCAAATTCATCTAGAGAGCCAGCTATCAGAAATTATTTCCATCCCAATTTATACAGTTTAGAAGATTATAAGACTTAAATCATATCACTAACTTTGTAAATCACCTTTGGGGTTTTTGTTAAGGAAAAGAGCAGGGTAAAAATGATAACAATACTACTTTTAAAAAAACAACTATTGTTTTTCTCAATGAGTTCCATAAACCAAATACTATAATTTACAGTCGTATGTGCCTAAAAGCTATTTGAACATGAACAGAAAGAGAAAATTAGACCAGAAGCCATTTTAACAAGCAATGGCAGCTGCATGATAAGGCACTTAGATAAACAGTAGTCCTTTAATATGGAAAAAAAAAATGTCATGCATTGTGTAGTAGCTGAAGAAAGTGATAAACCAGACTGTTACCTTATCCTTTTTTCTATAGTAAGGAAAGTTCTTGAAATCTGCTGAAATCCCTTCACTGAATGATTTGTGCTGTGCTTGGATAGTTTATTGTACACGGCCTCATGATCTCTCAATTGCTTAAAAATGGCTGAGATGGTCTTTTTCTTTGATCCATCCTGATAGGCCACAAGTGAAACAGATTAAACATGCAGTGTCAACATGGCACTTCTTTTTCCTAGTTTTTTCATAGACTTAAGTGTAAGAAGGTAAGAAATCCCTGTTACGGCTTCTGGAATAAACAGGGAAGCTATCTGTAGCTTTATTTTGATAGTACATCAGATGAAAGGCTGTCAGTGTTCCATCAATTGAACAGAAGAGAATGCAATTAAGACACAAACTCTTTATGATTCACTAGTGTCAGCTCTTCAAGATAGGCCAGACCAGAAAACAGACACTGCAAAAACTATTTGAAGTCAATTATTGCTAGGTACAATATCAGATCTTGAAAGCCTGCCAGAAAGTACCCTATTTAAATTCCTGGAATTACATGAATTACAGAATTGTTCCATTTGCAAACTAAGGTACTATTACAGGGTTTCTGTGTGATCTGGTAGTTAATGTTCTTGTGAGTTTAACTGCAGGAAACTAAGGATATCTTTTTTTACTTCTCTGATGCAAACTGCTACCTGTTTTAAGTAAGTCTTTATGTATTGATGTAATTTCTTGAAGAGTTCTTTAACATCCTCTGTAAATAAGTTCCCTCACATTAGCATTTAAACTGTCTTATGTGCTTCTGAATAGAAAACAGAATAAAAATTGAATTATAGGTAATCCCCTTTAACGATCAATCATTCAGTGACTATTTGAAGTTACAATGGTGCTGAGCAAAGGGGATTTACAACTAGTGTTCATATTGCAGCTACCCCAAATGGACATGTTATCATGATTCTGGAGTTTAGCAACCAGCTTGCTATTACAACATCCCATAATCACATGACCAACATTTGCAAAACTCACTGCTGGATTCCAACAAACAAAGAAACCAGCTCAAAGTGACCACGAGATTCACCTAACAATGGCAATTGGGACTGATGGAACTGCCATCATAGGTCAGTGCGCTCATGAGATCATGCTTTATGCCAGTGTTGCTCAGTGATAATTCTCAATCCCAATTACAATTAGTGTATTGTAATACTTGTAATAGAAATATGGTCCAGATAAAGGTGCCATAATGTACAATTGGAAGAGATCACTACATGTTGGCAGCCTATAGCTGTTATATCTGACAGTTGTCTAGATCTGGAAATTAAGATCTCTTTATTCAGTTTAAACTTTTTAGGGACTTTTCTGGTTTCCTAGAGGTCTAATTAACAGAATCTATTAGAGGAAAGATTCCACTGAGTGCTCTTTGTTCAAATGAAAAATCTACATAAAGACAACTTTAAACTGGCTTGTTTATGTTTGTTTGTTCCCATTCTTTCTTGCTTCTTTTCAGAAGGAAGGGCAGTTTGTGAGTATTTATTATTTTTAAATTACTTTTTATCTTTTAAAAGATTTTTAAATATTTTTTTGTATTGTTTTTAATTTTGTACATTGCTCCTCCACATTTATGAGATGACCAGCTATATAAATTTACAAAATAAATTTACTTTGATGTCTGTCAGGTTTTTTTTTTTTATCACTGTGAGAAATAATTCACACAAATTAGTGGATTCACTCACCGTGTCTGACAAATCAAGAGGAATCTTATTTATGGGTACTTCAAAGAATAAAGGCAAAAGTTCTGAGGAAGAAAATTGAGATTGTAAAGTTAAGTCCAATATTATGGTTTGTCTGGATAATTCAGTCCTGCAAACAAAACTTTCAACAAGATAGAAAGATAACAATGTCCTCAGGTGTCAACATTTTGTGGCTAGATAAACATGAGTGTGTTATGAAAGCAATAGGCCACTTTTTTCTTCAAAGGCAAGGGTGTCAAACTGGCAGCCCGCAGGCCAGATGTGTCATGTCCACCCCAGCTCCATGAAAGCAAAAACCGTCACATTATGTCACATGACATCAATGTGATGTGGTGAGTTTGACACCCCTGATCAAAGAGGCTTTCTGGATTCTTAATTTAATGTATAGGCCATTTATTGACGGTCTCTGATCCAAATACTAATCAATCAAATCCTGTCTAGTTTCAAATCTGCACCTATTCAAAGTCAGCATCAACATCTTTTTTCAACTGATGAGGCATTTTTTTAGTTCAGTGCCACTGTCCTATACCATCTTGGTTCAATGTCACAAAAATATTCCTTCTTCAATGTATATTTAATTGTATGGACTGCAAAGCTTTTTTCAGTTCTATCTGTACAGAAAATCCTGTATATCAGTGATGGCTAACCTTTTTCTCCTCACGTGCCGAAATCACATGTGCATGTGTGGACAGCAGGCGCATATGTGCCCACACCTATAATGCAATATGCTCCCCTGCACGCACATGCATCCCCACACTCCCTCCAACCCCCATGCATCCGTGCAACCCTGCGCTCTCTCCATGCATGCATGCAACCCCCCCCCCCTGCACTCTGCTTTGTGCCTAGCAAGCCTCCCTGAAGCCTCCTGGGACCAAAAATTAGGTATAGGGGGCGCTGCACCACCCTCTGTGCTCCCCTCACCCTCCCACACATGTGCACACATCTCCTGCATGCACAGTAGACACGAAAATCAGCTGGCCAGTGGGAGGAGTACATGCATGTGTGGTGGAGCTGACCAGGGTGATGGCTCGTGTGCCCATAGAGAGGGTTCTGTGTGCCACCTGTGGCACACGTGCCATAGGTTCACCATCACGCCTGTATATCTTTCATTTATCCTTCCTTTAAGACATTTCTGAGAGGGATCATACATTCTGTTTGTCCTTTCTCCTGCCTCGCCACATTTGATAAATATACTTTGTGCTGCCCAATTCTGCATTGTATCTACTATTCACTTCTCCCTGGGTCTGGAAAACGTATATTCATTTTAAATGTTATCTATTTTCATTTTTAACTATTTTATTTCTTTCCATCTGTTGGCCTTATGGCCATAATAAAAAAATGAGTTGATAGTCCAGTAAGTGCTGGAGAGCATTCCACTAACACCTTTTTTCTTATTATCATAGTTTGCTTTATAATATTTGTGATTCATCCTCTAAGCGTCAAGAAATCAAAAGGATGCCTTTCACAAATAAATTTAAGTGAGAGTGATTCCCCTAAGTACTTCATACCTTGTCAACTTTGTTTATACTAGCTGCCATACAGACCTAAAGCCTACACTATTAGGATTCAGGAACATCTGGAAACCTTCAAATGTATATCAAATAATTCCACTGACAGCAGAGAAAGTGATAGAGGGAATAAGACTGTTGTTCACTTAATAATAACAATACTGATATACCTGCCAATGTTTCTGAGTGATTCACAATAAATTACAATATAATTGATTTTTAAAAAAATATAAAACAAGACAACAACAACAGAACGATGGTATGAAGTGAAAGATCTCACTCTCCTTTACCAAAGGCCTGGGTGAATAACCAGGTCTTCATGACTCTTTCTAAACAACAGCGGAGTGGGGCCCATCTGGATCTTAAGAGAAATTCCAGAGGGCAGACACTGCTACAGAAGGCACATTTCCTGAGTCCTGATAGATGACATTGTTTAATTAATGAAACCCAGAGGATACCAATTCTACAAGTTCAAAGTGGTTGGGCAGATACTATAAAAGAAAAGTGATCTCTCAAGTAATCAGGCCCTATATCATGTAGAGCTTTATAGATAACAGCTGCCACACCCAGAAGAAAACTGGCAACCAGTGCAGCTTGCAAAGCAGAATTGTTATATGGGCATATCAAAGCATGTTCACCACTGTTCCCACTGCTACAGTTTGGACTATTTGAAGCTTCTGGATTATCTCTTTCCAGGCAGCTGAAAATGATGAATCTCTCTAATCAATAGGAATAGTCTTTACTTCTCAAATACATACTGCTTTAGTCTTTCAAATATTATAATGAAGTGTCTGAATAAAGGTAAATTAAAAATCATTAATTAAAAAAATAAAATGTTTTAAGCAGTTTCAAATAGACTATTGTAAGATAGTGACAATACTAGCAAGAATACATTTAAACTAAACAGGAAAAGCTTAAATATCCAACAACAGAACGAACTACACTTAATGACTCCCAACTTAATAGCAATAGTGATAGCACTTATATACAGCTCCCTTGTGCTTTATAGCACTATCTAAGCAGTTTGCAGAGTCAGCATATTGTCCTCAACAATCTGGGTTCTCATTTTACCAACCTGGGAAGGATGGAAGGTTGAATCAACCTTGAACTGGTGAGGATTGAACTCCTGGCAGTGAGCTGAATTAGCCTGCAGTACTGCATTCTAACCACTGTGCCATCACAGATCCAATTAAATAAATATATTCATCTCTCTTCAATAAAGATAGATATATTAAGTAGAAATGAACAATTTGTACAACACCTACATAAGCACTTAATAAATATCTTTAAGATTTGTATCAGCATCAAAATTTTTGAAATAGCTTTTAAGGAAAAAGGACCATTCACACAACCTTTGAAAAGAGTACTGTCTTCCTCTTTCCCTATAAATCCTCATTAATTCTTTCTAGTAACCCCTATTCACTTTAAGTATAAGAGAGTTGTAAGGAACCTATATCAATACTCAGTTTTCCTTCACATTTTTTACATTTTAGGTATAATTTCAGATATATAAGCTTCATTAAAGCAAGCATTTCCATACAAAAAAACAAGCTTTATTTTACAGTATCCAGTGCCTGTTTAGGTTTCAAAATGTTAAACACAGTACCAGAGTACTACGGTATTGTGGTTAAGAAGACTGTGCTGAGAATACTAAGATTCAAATTTACTGTTTCATATGGAAGCTGACCAGTGGTGGGTTGCAAATCCGTTTCAACTAGTACGTTGGAACGGGGCTGGCGGCGTCCTCATGGACACGCATGCACGAACGTATATCTTAGCGCCTCTGCGATGCTCCAGCTGCTTCACAGAGTGTCGCACAGGCACTGTATGTGTCATGCACCTGCACGGAATCGCAGAAGCCTTTAAACACTGGTAAGGAGCTCGGGTGGGCCAGCTCTCCAGAGCACCGTACAGGAATGGTATCCGGTGCTCTGGGCTGGCTCCGGTACGCCCGTACTGCGGCGTACCACCTGCAACCCAACACTGAAGCTGACTAAGTGACTTGGAACTCACTAACTCTCTCTCTGTATATTACATGAAATTCTTGGTTAAGAAAAGTTGAAAGGAAGGTTTTGTACACCATCTTCATATCCAGGAAAAAAGTGCAATAAATCTATCAAACTCTAAATAGCCAGATAACACAAGACAAGAATATAGAAAGAACACATTTCACATTAAATAACCTATTAGTTGTAAGTTGTAAAATTTATAAGGATATTGAAAATACACCATTATAAAAAATATTCATTATATTCCAAATCCAATGTTTTATTCTTTACACTCAAGTGCCTTGACTTTTCTATAACTGATTTTAAATATTATCTGACACATACACACAAATACAAATTAATCATTACAGGAAGCAGTTGCCTTAAATTGCTGATAATTTGCATAAGCAAACAGTCTCAGTCTTTATTGAGTAATGTAAATAGAAAAGTCTTTGCTCCAAAAATATTTACTATGTAGCTAGTGAGTCCAAATTCTTTTTATTGGAGAGAATTTAAATGATTCTTATCAATTTGTTTGGATGATATCTTCAAAAATCAGGACAAATATTCCTTTAAAATGTCATTCCATTCCATTATTAAATTGTTATAGTCAAAATCTAAGAGACAAATTATCCATAGTTTCTTACTAATAATTTACATACATATAATACACAATTACAGGTAGTTCTCGTAGTTTAGTGTTATGACAATATTGGGAAAAAAATGGAACTTGCAACCAGTTCCTTGCAAGAGAACCAGCTGATGAGACACAAGAAGAAATGGGCTCCTAACCAAGTGCTCAGGGGTTGCCAGTCATGCTGCAGCTCAGAGATCATTTGGGACAAGATGCTCTCAAGCCATGATGTGGCAAAAATGTCCCAGTGCTTCTCGCTGCATTGCAGTTCTGTTTGTACAACACTGTTCAGAGACTTTTTGATATGCTGCACCATAGGATTTGAGACTGCACACATCAATGACAGTGACAAATCCAGGGGAAGGGAGAAAGGACACACAACGATGAAGCTGAGGAGGAAGGTCCACATGCAATGGTGGTGGGAGAATAAAGCAGCTTTTCTATGATGTTTGGGTGGCCAAAAGAGCAGGGATGGAGGAGAGACAGACTAACAGGGGAGATGCAGGGGAGCTAGTCCGTTGCCTTGGAAGAATGTAGGCTTGAGGCTGGAAGGACCAAGTTGGATCCAGTCGGTCCTCCCCTAACAATCTGCAGGACTTGTTTCACAGCAAGACTTCCGATACTGCCATTGTGAAGCAGGGCGGTCACAACCACTTCATTTACTGATAGGGATTGGGATTTGCCAGTTCCAATTAAGGTTGCAAAGTGAAGACTATCTGTACTCCATAGTTTAAAAAGTACGGGCACAATTGAGATCAGGATTTCAGATGCTAAGCAAGGCAGTTATTAAGTGAGACATGCCCATAGTTATCCTTTTTGGCCATAGTTTTAAAGTGAATCACAGCTGTTGTTAAGTGAACCATGCAGTTGTGAATCTGACTTTCCTGATTGACTTTGCTTGTCAGAAGCCAGACGGGGGATCACAAATGGCAATTACATAATCCTGGGACACTGCAACTGTCATAAAAATGCCGGTTGCCAAGCACTGAATTTTGATCTCATGCCCGTGGGGATATTACAACAGTCATTAAGTGTGAGGAATAGTAGTTTGTCACTTTTTTCAGTGCTATTGTAACTTTGAATAGTCACTAAACAAATGGTTGTAAGTTAAGGACTACCTGTACCCTTTGAAAAATATCAAAAATATGAAAAACAGTACAAATATTATTTATTCTGGAGCATCACTGAATGTTATATATGAAGGCATCTAACTGCACCCTCTAGCGTTCATAGTTGAAAATGGCATTTTAATAAGTTTAGGAAATATACAGCAACCTATTATGGAGTTATTTAGTATTGTTTTTATTGCCTTTTCAATTCATATTTTTAACCCTCTTTCTTGAAAACTGCCTTGAGTTGTTAGTCAATTGAGTGGCCCTGAAAATCAGACAAATAAATGAAATGCTCTGTGCATCATTCTCCTTTCCAACAGAAGGAAAACATTGGCTAAGTTGTTAAACTAAACTGCATGATGCTGAAAATGACTTGTACACAAAGGCTATAGTACTATATTGTAAGGCTATCGTAAAGGCTATTGTACTATAGTCAAATGATAAGGAAACCAATTTTTGGTTTAAGAACCCAAGCCAGCTGCAAGATCAAATTAGGTTTGTAATTATATGTAGGAAAAGGTAAGACTTTTCCACATTTTTTCTTGATTAACTAAAAAAAGTTGATAGTCCTCTACCTATGGTGCAATCACAATTGGGATCAGAACTGCTGTCGTAAGTCAATATAATCGTAAAGTGAAATGTCACATGGCTGCACTGACTTACTGTGGCAACCCCAGTTCTTCCTGTTGCAGTTAACTGGGAATCACGGGTCTTTAAGCAAATATCCACCCCTATCCTTCCCAGCCATGAGCTGAGATAAGGGGCAGCCTCCAACTCCTCCCACCCACCTAACTTTGTCCCTGCTATGCCATTCTGGCCACCCAGCCTTGCAAACAGCCCCAGAATCAGGCAAGCTCTGGGCTGCCTGTCACATCCTGGGAAGCCCTCACTCCCCAGCAAGTCATTATTTCTCTCGCCATCCTGCCCCAGCAATGGTAGCATTCATTAACTTGCCAGCAAATTTCAGTATTTGGCAGGAGCCTAGCACAAAAGGAAGTTCCATGCACTGTGATGCCTTTCAGCTGCTTTGTGCAGGGTTTTATTTTCTTTTATGCCATATCAAGTCAACCCCAGCAGGCAGGACAGGCACGCCTCATCATGAGTTGGTGAAGACCTTGGTGAATGTCAGCAAGGGCAGTAGAAAGGCAGGATGGCAGCGGGCCAAAAGGGCACAGATGGAAAAATAGGCAGGGCAAGTTGCAGCCACCTTGTGGTCTAAAAGCAGGAGGGCTGCCAATCACCCGGATTTTGATCACATGAGGTGTGAATGTGGGGGTGCTGCAATAGCCATAAACTTTGGGCCCAATGTAAGCCTCATAATTCAATGTCATCATAACTTCAGTCATTAAACAAATGATCATAAATCAAGGGACTACCTATACAGATTTTTTTTCCATTTCATATCTTACTATAATGGACTACATTTCTGTTGTTACTTACACTGTGGATCCCTGTCTCACCTTCACAGCACTCGAAATAGTATTTTCGTTCCAATAGCAGGTTTCAAATTAATATCAGTAACTCACAGGCTACCTCCCTGACATTTTACCTGTTTGAACTTGGAATGGAACTGTCGTGGAACAATTAATCCACAAAGAGAACATCTTCACAGATACGTTAAACTACATCTGGCAGTACTACTAGAAGCTACCTACCTATCCAACCGTGGCATGTATAAAAACAAACCACAGCAACATTTCTGATGGCTACCTAACATATTCTGTTTTTTACTTGATTCTTTTAACTTGTAAATACTTCAAATGAAAAATTTCACTGACATTGGCAGACCTGAGAATAGCAGACTAGAACTGGAACAATTCCTCTTTGAATTTCCTCTTTTTCATGGCAAAGAGTAGAAGGAAAGGTAATCACAGCTGTATACTATATCAGGAATCAGCAACAGGAATCACATTTTATATTTTTGGGGTGAATGTGATAATGCAAAATGAATAGAACAGATTTTTTTTAAAATAGAAATTGTTTTTGAAAGGCCATCTTTCTTAGGGATGATTCTTTTTTCTTGCTTGTTAAAGCTATGTTAAGCCTGTTTTTGGAACTAATTATATTAAAGTGTTTGGGTACTTTTCATTTCAGAAAGGCAGGGAGCTATAATACCAGTTTTAACAACGCTGGTAAAAGGCTGATCTAGAAAACCATGTTCAATATATGTGTATATGTATATGAGTTTGCACTGTGTTTTAAGTGAATTCACCCATGACAGTAATGTTACAAATTACAATTTCTTCTTAAACAGTTTAAACCAAGGTTCACATTCAGATGTCATGCTAGATTTAACCGCATCATGGCTTAGCAAGTCTCGCAAGCAAATCACAGACAAATTAAATTCATAATTTCTAATATATAAAACCCAGAAATACTAAAATGGAAAGCGTTTCTTAGCAAAACATCAGAATATCAGAAAAAACAATTTGTTATTCAACAGCCTATTGCACCAGTACTTTGCAAATACAGATTTATAAACAAAAATAAGAAGTTAAAATATTTTCCTGCAAAATCTGATGTGTCAGAAATTATGGGAATAAGCCTATTTAGAAATATGAACATTTAGTTCAGAAATTAGAAAAAGAAAAATGCTTTGACGTAAATCATAGCACAGATTTTTAAGAAAGCAAGAACAGAAATAGTAATGCTATTTTTCTTTAGTTATACATGCTTTCAAAGAAAAATGTTTGAACAGTGCTACAAATAGTTACTAGTAAATTGAATATATTTATCTTGGGAACTGTACTCTCTACATTCTAAAACTGTACTTAGAAGTATTTAAAGTTACTCACCTTAGATTTAATATAGAATGGTGATGACTGCTGATGTATTGCTAAGTCCAGGTTACCGTTTGAATTTGTGATACTGTTACAATGAGTTTGTTCATCTCTGCTGCTTTCATCAGATTGATCAAAATCATCACTGTCTTGGTCCATTTCTTCTTCTTCCTCCATGTCCTCCTCTTCCTCTGGTATGCCAGTATGTTCATCTTCTTCCTCCTCTTCTTGGTTGCCAGAATAATCTTCATCTACTTCAATAAATCTGTTGTTGTTTTCTTCCAATTGAGATTCATTTCTATGACACAGTCCAGGTTGGCCTCCACCAATTTCCCCATTTCTTGCAACAACTTCATCTTGTTGTCGTAACTGTTGTTCCTCCTCCACAACTCGATTCATCTGCTCTTCATCCACTTGGCTTGATGAAGTATTACCTCGAATAGACCCACCAGTTCGTCGTCTCTTGCTGCCAACAGATATCAGTTCCTGATTCATTTCCAAAAGCCAGTTTGCTACTTCTTGGACCTTCCCTAAACTATCTGAAGATGCAAATGTTTTTACATTCTGAGAAGAGAAAAAGAAGAGAATTGTCACAATTATAAATGTTATTATACTCTTAATTATATAGATCTAGATATTAAGGATATCTCTTAACACAGAATATTTATAATGGAGCATGTCAACTTAACTTTATATTGCAGTGCACTTATTGCAAACAAAATCTGTTCTTATGTATTTTAATAAATATTCTGTTTTACATATTAAATTAAATCTAAGGAGGAAATATTAAGAACAAAACACTATAAGCCTACAATAACACGGTAAGAAACTTATAGACTATTGCATTTGAATTTGACATTGATGTCAAGTATAATGAAAATATTTTAAATAAAGGCATCCATTGTTTTGGAAAATCTATTTCACAACTGATTATGGGACGTATTTTCTCTAATTATGGAAATACTTTAGGGCCATGATGGAAAACCTATGGCACGGGTGCCACAGGTGGCACACAGAGCCATTTGTCTGGGCACACGAGGTGTTGCCCTGTCAGCTGGCCAACACACATGCACGCACTGGCCAGTTGACTTCGGCCTTCTTTTGAGGCCATTTTTTGCCCTCCAGAGGCTTCAGGAGTTTCCCTGAAGCCTCCGGAGCGCAAAAAGAACGCCCCTATGAGCAAACTGGAAGTTTGTTCCCGAACTTCTGGTTTGCCCATAGGGCTGGTTTTTCATGCTCCGGAGGCTTCAGGGAAGGTCCTGAAGCCTCCGGAGGGCCTCCCCAGGCTCCTATAAAGCCTCTCTGGAGCCTGGGGAGGGAGAAAAAAGCACACCAAAAATGAGGGGGGAGGGCTGGTCATGTGTGCATGCGCGCTGGGGTCATGTGCATAGCATTATGGGTGTGGCACGCCCACACATGACCCCCCTTATGTTCCCTCTGCTTTTGGCATGCGAGCCACAAAGGTTCACCATCACTGCTTTAGGGGGATCGAAATGCATCAAATAATATATACATATGTGTAACTGACAACATAAAAACTGTAAAAGATTTACAAAAGTATACATTTGGCTAAAAGATTACAAAAAGTATTAACAATTCAAAAATCATTCTGTAAATTCTTAAAGAATTTCAATTAGCAATCCCTAATGAATCTTTTGCTGTAGTAATTGACCCCAATCCTAATTTTTCAAAAATATTTAAGAACTGAGATGGCTTGAAAATAAAAGTGCACATTAAAATTGTTTTAAACCACCTGCCATCAATTTGATAATGTATACTGTATTAAACACTATTCTGTATATAAAATTTTAAATGACATTGGTAGTTCTCAATGAACTTTTTAAAATTTTGTACATTTATATAAAACAAATGAAAAGTCATATGTGCTATTAAAATATTTTAAGTTGTAATATTTTCTTAAATATTCATTTTAAATATAAACTAAATTTTCAGTTCAAAAGAGTAATTTCCAATAGTCTTCAGAAGCATATGACTATATTTAAATCTTTATGTCTTATTGCTTTAATGACTGTAGGAATAAGATTTGTGAACCTAGGAAAAACAAGATTATGGAATACTAATTTACATTAAGAGGTAATAAAGCACTGGCTATTGACATTTTTAATTGGCTAAGTATATAACATTAGTATAAAACTGGATGAAAATATGGCAAAGACTGGAAGAAATATTGAGATTCAATTCTTCCAGTTAAACCAAACCATTTTAGAAATGTAGTCGTAATCAAGACATCAAAACCAACGGATCTTTGATCACACAAAATTACTATTTGGTTCTTTAAATTCTGCCCCCCCCCCCAAAAAAAAACCACAACACAATATGATAATACAATATAACATTGAAAATCCAATTAATTTAATTTGTTAACAGGAGATATAGTACCAATTGATCCACTCTAAGGAGAATAATGCTATATATGAACAAAAAATAACAATTAAATAGCTAATGTATGATTCTATGGGAGATGTTATGAAAATGTTTTAGCTTGCTATAGTATACTACCACTCTTGCATTGCTAAGTTTTGTTCTCTAGTAATAAACAAAAGTAATTCACTTTTATCCGCTGAATTTCTTTTGCGTATGCAATGATATGGAACTTGATTTCAAGCTAGACTAAAAATGAAAAACATATCACTGTAGATGTATTTTCGCATTACTCCACTAGAGGGTAGCTCTTTCTGCTTATTGAAGTAACTGACAAATTATTTTAAATAAGCATAAGATGTAACTTGAGATCATCAAGTAAGAAACCACTACAGCCAGATGGTTAATGTGTTATTTTAAAATACATCTTTCATTCTAATGGAAATTGAATAATGAGTATAGAGATCTCAGAAGTATCTATAAAGAAATCTTTCTATACATTTGTTTCCATAAATGTTAAATTTTGTCTTAAGATTGCCTAATTCTAAGATTATCTTAATTACATTAATATCTATTTATGCATGAAATAAAGTTTCAGCAGCTCAAATTGCAGGATGTTGTGCTGGAGATAAGATATTTTTGTTAATTGCTACCTAAAATTAGAATACAAAGAAAGTCCAAATACATAGTTACTAGAACAGAGAGTTATTCAGAATCAGAACTATTTCAAAAGTCCAAATTCCTTTTTTTTTTCTATTCAATTTGATATATCTGTCCTGGCTAAATCTGGAAAGGGTGTTGGTTTCTATATTTCTAGGAAAAAGGGATTCAAATTTAAGGACACCTATAAATCTTTTTTCCAGTTTCCTAATCAGAGCTATTTAAAAAATTAGTTTTGCAATTAAGAGACCAGGAAGATCCAGATTCAACTTGCGCTCCACTTTTACTTCACTAAAAAACCTACAAGTAATTCTTGACTCATGACTGGTTGCTTAGCGACTGCGCAAAGTTACAATGAACCTTCCCAAAAGGCTATTTATAACCCAGTCCTGAAGTAATGATAGCCCTCCCCACAATCAATCCCGTTGTATTTAAGTACAATGACAATAAAAATTATACTTATACAATCATGTCACCACATTTGGGTGGTTTGGCAACTGGCCCACATTTAGCATCATTTGTAGCACACCCTCGTATACATGACTGTTCTTACACTTTTTTCTGAACATCTGCATTTACTTCCAGTTTTGGGCGGGGGGGGGGATGCCACAGAGAATAATGAGGTCACTTAACAACTGCTGTGTTCACTTAGTAACTGCCACACAAAAAAAAGTTGTAAAGTCAACTTTTGGTGATGTTATATGACTAATAATTTCCAGACTCAATTACAGTTGTAAGTTGAGGACTACCTATATTATTATTTTTCCAATATTTTGGAAAGTCTTGAATAATATTTTTCAAGACATTCTCATGAGCATGAACCAGTTGAAATTGTGTTTGGAGAAGAAGGTGGAAGTATGAGTATAGAAACTAAGTATTTACTGAGGTTTTTTTAATTTGTTCTAGTCTTTGGTCTACGACTATAATAATAAATTGAATTGAAATTGAACTGAACTATTCTGGGGAGCAGTTTGCAAAGTCAGGTCTGCATTTCTCTCAAGTGACCAACATATATTGCTAACTGGGCAGGTTCAAGCAAGAAGTGTTTTTTACTAGTTTAGACACGTATGTGTACTTGAAACTAAACTGGAATAGGTGTAATTTCAATTATTCATGATAACATCACTAGGCTGGACTAATGTAATTCACTCACTTTCATACCATCATCATAGACAAGAGCTAGCTGAAGAAATCGGGGAAATGTCTATGCAGGTTGGAAAAGGATAGTTTGTTTGTATGGGGTATAATAACACAAACGTGACCCATGCTTAATCAGAGGCAAGGCTTGTCTAGTTCAACATCCTTTCTCATGCAAGCTAGATGTCTGTAAGAAGAAGAAAAATGTAATACATTTTTCCCATTCATAACTCCCCGAAGAACACTTCTAATAGTAATAGTATTTTATATATATATATACATAAAAATGTCCTTTCCATCCTTATGAATGGTCTGCGTCTTCCTCAATCTCAGTTCTACCAGAAGCCTGGGCGTTGGAGAGTTCTATGAGGTATCTTAGCTGTTCCTAGCACTGCACTCTTCAGGGAAGAGAGCTCTGATAAGCCACTCTCCCAGCTTAGGAGTCGCAATCCCGAGTGTTCCTACTATCCCATTGGGACCACTTTCGCCTTCACATCCTCTCCACTCATGACTCTCCCAGTTCATGCGTCACTCTCATATTCCCTTGGACTGCAAGGCGATCAAACCGGTCAGTCCTAGAAGAGATCAACCCTGACTGCTCTTTAGAAGGCCAGATCCTGAAGATGAAACTCAAATACTTTGGCCACCTAATGAGAAGGAAGGACTCACTCGAGAAGAGCCTAATGCTGGGAATGATTGAGAGCAAAAGAAGAAGGGGACAACAGAGAAAGATCATTGGCTTGCCTGAATGGTTATTCTCTCGGCGCTGTGGAGTGTCCAAGCACGGGTTAACTTCAGCTTGCTCTCCAAGGAACTGAGTTTAATTTTGATTGTAG